ATGAATAGTTTGACTTCTTTACTTTTCACAACTGCTGCTGTATAGATGGATTATAAATTAGTGAATTTCAGGATTTTAAAATTCTAGTGTTAGAATTAGGCTGAGTCGAGAACACAGCAACATTGTAACCATTACTTTTTGCCACTTTGAAAATAGTCCGTGGTCTGTCTTTCATTGATAAAATGAGGTTTTTTTGTTTGAACCAGGCTGGCCGACCATCTGGGTGTGAGTCTGCCAGACATCGGGACCGCAGCGTTTATTGCACAGGTCAAGAGAGCCGCAACAAATGATGGTCAGTGTTATCACGGAACTTGACATTTCGCGACCTCAGTGCTTTCTTGTCCTATCTCCATTTTTAATAACAGTGAAAACAGTTCATAACAAAGAGTGAGCTTTAGAAGAAGTCACATTTTCATGACAATAAAGCACTGAGGTCGCGACTTGCTTACAAGACTTATGTAATGATACGAGACTTGAGACAGCTGAGAAGTAAACAAGATAGTTGTTGTCATCATAGAGACAATGTGGTCCTGTAAACCCCTGCTTGTACTGTAAGATAAGATTAGATAAGATAAGATTAGATAAGATAAGATTAGATAAGATAAGATTAGATCAGATACGTTTAGATAAGATAAGATTAGATATGATAAGATTTATCTTTTTTGTCCAGATCCTGACTCATTGGTTTGGTGTTTCACCATGTACACACATACGCATGTCAGCGTGGGCGTGTGTGTGCATGTGTGGGTGCACCTGTGGTGTGTTTGTGCATGTGTGTGGTAGTGGGGGAGAGGTCCAGCAGACACTGAGTCATACTAATGTGTTGTTGATCTAGAGCAGACCAGTTTTCGATAGCTGTCTGGCAAATCACACGACAGCTGTGTCTTCTATAGCAGAGTTGCCCCTGACTTTTCACTAGTTCCGTATTTAATCAGTTTTGATCTCTTGCATTGCATTCTCAGGCCAGACAGGCATTCAGTGCCTTGGAAAGAAAGTGCTCAGAGCTGTTGGTGAGGGTATAAGTATAAAAAAAGTTTGACAGAAATTATTGATTTTGGATGAGGGGAATTGGCAGCTTAGTAGTAGAGACATCATAAAGCCAGTGCTAAGAACAGCCATCGATCCTTTACATAAATAATTAGGAGATTTTGTTTTGTCTGTGCTCTTTTGTTCCTGCCAATGGAACCTTACCTGGGTACCTGGATACCTGGAGGTGTCATCTCTGACTCAGAGGTTGACGTGTAATGACCCTCCATCCTTCACGGTCATGAGCTGCCGTTGCACATTCTGCCATATCCAGGCCAGCCCATGTTCTTACGTTGTCCATCAATGTTATTCTTTGCCTTCCTCTGGCTCTCCTGCCCCATATCTTTCCTTCAAGCACCTCTTTCACAATGCCTTGTGTCTTTTTGGAGTGCATAGTATTGTATTTGTCTACATTTTATTTTATTCAACAGGGTTTGTCTTGTGTGTAAAATCTGACGCACCTCATTGTTTGTCTTAATGTAACCTTAGTTGTTTGGGGGGGGGGGTTCTGAGAGCTGCAAGTAAAACATTTATTTTGTTGTGTTTTTTTTCTCAATAATCATTCGGCAGGTTTACAAGCATTCAGTGAGACACACGAGGCGGGTCTGTCGACCGTGAAGCTCATCGCTGACGCTCTACAGCAACCTCTGTCCTACGACATCCGAGAAAGTGAGATGATTCTTCTTTCCTCGCGATATCTGCCTTTGAAATACCCTCCAACATTCTCTAGTGGCCACCTGTTCAAGACAATCACCTGTACAACTGACCACTTTCCACTCCCCCCCCCCTTATATATATATTTTTTATTTTTTTGAATATTATAATGACACTGTCCAAAGGATCCACGTATCTAAGACAACCACTTTTTTCTTCAACTTGTCTTTGCCTTGAACAATTGTTAGCTAGCAAGCAATCTCAGCCAACATTCAGTCCTGTCCGTCATCTTTTATCTTTGCCTTCACCAGACTGTCACTGGCTTTTAAAACCCATTTCTGGTATAAGATTAGCAGCCTACTACTGATACTGGTAAACTTGTTCTTTCTACTCAGTTCAATTTCTTCAAGTTTAACTCTCTCCGTACGTCGTGTTTTACTATCGTATCCATACGACGTGGGGAGCTCTGTGCCACCACTTTCCAAAAAAGAAATTTATTCTTTAATCCAATCCGTACGCTTTGCATAGCAGTCTGTCAAAATGATTTTTTGAGAAATACTGAAAGTTTCAAAGAGATCTTCGCATTAAAAGTATTCTAAAATGTGAAGAATACAACCCCGGGGGTACAAAATGACCCCAGGGTGTACAGATAGGGTTTAGTGTCTTGCTGTTACAGTGAAAGTGACAGGGAAATCTTCCAAGACCTCATATGCATGTGATGCCTCCAAATCCCATCTGAAACTTAAGTCGTGCACAGATAAAACTGACTCGCAAAAGTCGAAATCACGGATGGCTCGTATAATTTGCCATTCCCCAATGATTCCTCTTTAATTGTTAGTTTGACAGTTTTCTCCTGGTTCGATAACAACAACAACAGTTTACTCCATTTATGGATGTGTCAAACACGTTTGTCAATCAATCCCTGGTGTGTTTGAGTTTTATCTATGCCCGGCTGTTTGTAGGAGATGTCATTAATAATAATAATAATGGATTGCATTTATATAGCGCATATCCACTTATGCAATGCTCTATGCGCTTAACATGATACATATAATGGATTTACAAATCAATTTTAAAGATACATAGTGTTACATACTCATGCAAACACATATTCACTCACGCACGCACCACACACATATACATACTCACATACACACATACATACATATGCACATACGCACATACAAACTCACAACGATCTACAGCTTGGATGCATTCTGTCTAATCGAAATATGATGAAAATAGAAATGATTTTAGTTTCTTCTTAAAAATTTCTAGATTTTCTGCTTCTCTGATAGTTTTTGGAAGCCTATTCCAAACAAGTGGGGCAAAATATGAAAAAGAGCGTTGGCCACATGATTTGAAATTTATTTTAGGCTTAACAAGGGTTGTTTTGTCACTAGATGATCTGAGCGTTCTAGGAGGCACATAGGGTGTTAAAAGCTGTTTTAGATAGTCCGGTGATAAATCATTTAAGCACTTGTAGCAAGTTAAACAGATTTTATATATGATACGCTCTTTCACTGGGAGCCAGTGTAATGCTTTTAAAATAGGAGTCACATGATCATGCTTTAGTTTTTTAGTAATTATTTTGGCAGCAATATTATCATTATCATGAGCCAAAGTGTAATTGAGTCTACGTCTAAGCCAGCAGAACTTGTTGAAACATTTACTTTTTGCATTACTTCTCTACTTATCTGCTCTTTCTTACTTATACATGTACCTACATTCAACTTCTCTTTCTCTTTTATACCTTCATTCAACTTCTCTTTCTCTTTTATACCTTCATTCAACTTCTCTTTCTCTTTTATACCTTCATTCAACACACGTTCTTACTTATACCTTCATTCAACTGCTCGTCCTTACTTATACCTTCATTCAACTGGCATTCATCCACTTTCAAAGATGGAGTCATTTCTCCTTATGTGGACAGTTAAAATGAACAGCTTTGTAGTCCCAGATTTCTCACTGCACTATTGGGTTTGCATTCTCTCCACCAGAATTGGTTTCATTGGACATAGCAGACGCCACCAATCATTTAAATGCTCATTTCTTCTATTTCTATTTGATAAATAATCTCGTCTGTGGATATATTGGTCCTGGTCAGACATTGACGGATGTACTAGTATATTATTGCTGTGATGCTTCTTTATTAATCTGTACAGTTCAAAATATTTTCATGAATACATGCTTGTGGGAGAAGTGTGGCTCTCATGAAATTGAAGAGGAATTTCACTTTATTTTCTATTGTCCACACTTTGTCCATCAAAGGAAATTGTTAATTCCTCCCAGCCTGACTCGGCCCAGTGACAGAAATATGCAATGGCTATCCCATAATAAGAGATATGTGCACAACCTGTACTTATTCATTATGGAAACTTTATTTATCAAATGAGTGTTTTATGTGATGTGATGTGGGCCAGTGGCCTTAAACACTGAATAAACTTACTTACTTAACACGAATATATTCTATTATTGCGTTCAACAGGCTTTCAGCGGCCCATTTTCAAACAGGAAGTGATGTCAGTGTCTGACCTGCGGACTGGAAGTATCGTGACGGGCAGGGTGACGAATGTAACGCACTTCGGCGCTTTTGTGGACATCGGGGTAGGCATCAATGGTCTAGTTCACACCAGCAAGATGGGACGCTTCGGCAAGTTGGGCTTAGGGGATCATGTTGAGGTCAAGGTCGAGAATTTGGATCTGAATCGCAAGAGAATTGGTCTCATGCTCACAAACATTCAACAAAGGTGATCATTTATTGAGTTCTCCGTGATCTATTTTTAACTCTGGACTACTAGGTGCTTGATAACGACCTTTTTGTGTTCAAACTTTTGAAAATGAATTTTTAGATTGATATTTGTGGAACAAACTCGCACATTTCACGCATTCCATTCCATAATTCCGTAGGGCTAATATCTATGGGCGTTCCTTTACCCCAAACGTGGTCACGATTTGATTCCTCTCCCCGTCGTTTTATGCAAGAAAAATTCTGAAATTATGCAAACTGAGCCCAAAAATGTGAAATTATGCGATTCTGTTAATTTTTAAAAAGAATGATAAAGGAAAATAATCTGAAATTATGAAAAAAATGATCAAATTTGGCTAAATTATGCGGGGGTGCATAAAACCACGGGGACAGGATTACAAATATGTGTAGTTGTACACCTCTGTGAGACTAAGATACTAGAAAAAGAAGATGAGAAAAAAGTACAACTGGAAAAGAAAGGAGCAATGATGGATAAACTGGTACATTGTCATGTGTTATCTGTGTAATGAAGGTGATCCTGTTTATTAATCATTTGTTGCAGTGTATGCAATCTTGATCCCTGTCCATAAAAAAAGGGTTTGTGTATAAAAGGGTTTGTCTATAAAAAGGGTTTGTCTATAACTGGGACATCACGTCTGTCCCGGTGGTCTTGCTATAGCCAGGAACCACTGTACTTGTAAGTTATTTACCTCACTTGTAACAAAACAGATTCATAACAAATTTTTAAAATGTAGAACCAATGATTTCATGATAAGACTTTCTACTTACAAATGGAACTTTTGTTCTCGACTCATGCAATACTTTTATCAGTTATTTGCTATGTTGAATTAATTAAAGATTTTGCTGTACATTGGAAATAGTTTTGTTTTGTTGATTCTGGTGGAAATTCTGTTGTACAACATCCTAGAATCCTGGTCCTAGTAAGATTTCAACATGGCCAAGCTTTACACCCCTGTGTGTTTGATGAAGAGAAAAATGTTGGATCATTCTACAAACCAGTGCATCGGTGAACGTGAAAGATAATACAGTCAAACATGCTGTATCTCTAATGGCCACCTGTCTAAGACAATCACCTGTTCAAACGGCCATCTGTCTAAGACAATCATCTGCACAAACGGCCACCTGTCTAAGACAATCACCTGTACAAACGGCCACCTGTATAAGACAATCACCTGTACAAACGACCACCTGTATAAGACAATCACCGGCACAAACGGCCACCTGTATAAGACAATCACCTGTACAAACGACCACCTGTATAAGACAATCACCGGCACAAACGACCTCTTCCCACTTCTCCCCTTGTGTTATCTTGTAAATAGATAATGACACTGTCCAAGATGTTCACCTGTCTAGACAACCACAGGGGGCTCTCGTAGCCTAGAGTTTAAGCTGTTCGCCTCTCATTCAAATTCAAAGGTCCCGGGTTCGAATCCGGGTAGTACTGACTGTAGTGTCTTTAGGCCATTCCCAGAGGGGGGACATTTCTCGTTCAAGCACAGTAGAATTGTAAATGGGCTGACTCATCAATGTCACACTCATAACTGTGCCTGTTGTACAGCAGGGAACTGCTGCTTTTTCTTTCCTAATCCTTACTATTGTCATTTTCCTCTACTTCTTTTGTATGTTTGTCACTCTCTTGTGGCCTCCTATTTTGGGGTGCCTTGATAGTCGAAGCAGACTTTGTGCTGTTGAAGCTAGAGAGGTGAGCAGAGTAAGTCTGATTCCCTGTAAAGACTTCTCTGTTGACACCCACCCCTTGGCGCTCATATAACCTTATGCAGTTGCGAGCGCCGTAAAACCCTCTACTATACAATAAAAAATTTTTTTAAAAAGAATCCGGGTAGTGACGGAGAAATTCCCTTCTCTAAAATTGTCTCCTTTCACCTCCTTTCCTGCTCTCTATGTTCTGTCGTCTGCTTTCGTCTCCACTTTCTTCCCCCACCCCTTCATCTTCTTTGCCCCTTCCTCTGGGCTCCTGACTCTTTCTGCAGCCTTTCTATTGCTACTCCCTGGCTCTTTCTTACTACTATCTTTCAGCCACACCCCAGATCTTCTGGTAGGAGAGATCTACACCTAGCCTTCTCGGACAAGGGCGAAAAATCTCGGAGGTCCGGTGTGCAAGTTGTGCACGTAAAAGATCCCTTGGTGAACTCAATAAGAGTAGGCTTCGGCCGCCACCCGGGCAAAATTCAAAATTTCCTACCAACTGAAAAATGTTTAATGTGTTGCGCCTGCTCACATGATCTTATGCAGCTGTAAAACACTTACCCAAAAACAAACAAGACAACCACTTAGGAGTGGCCGTCATGGACAATTTCAACCACAATTCAATTTTCACTGTCAAGTCTAATGCCCAGTCCAGAAAATTCTGTGTCAAAAATAAAAACAGACCCAGCATTGCAGCGCAAACAACTTTTCGTCTATTATTTCTGTCTGTCTTTCTTTTTCCCAACACTAAACCGTTACAGTGTTGATGTGTCTCTCTTTACTTCCACAAACAAACCATACTGAGTCGTATGAGTGTGAAAACAGGGACACCAGATGTGAGGCAAGAGAAACAAGGAAAGGAAAAAGAAAGGAAACCTGTCCCTCTGCAGATTGAAAACCAGCACTCTATGATACGATTACAGTGCACCTTCTCTAAAACGACAGTTGGGACCAGATAAAAATGTTGTTATAGAGAGTTGTCTTTCTTTCCATCAGTCTCTCTATCATCCTTGGGAAAGTGTGTGAAAACTCCAAAAAATTGTTCTTCTAAATAAGTGTTGTAAAAATAATGAAGTCAACGCAACAACAACTTTCATCCTCAGTACAAGTTTATTTATTGACACAAGTCTATTTGACTCCCACAAAAATAGAATATAGATCTCCGTTCATGATCACGTTACATTTTACACAAGAAGTTATGTGTGTAGCCTGCACAGACGGACACGATGAGATCAAACGTACAAGCCCCACGAGGGTGCCGTACTACTACTGCCCACTTATAGGGGTTTATCTTTCCAAAAGAAACAACATAGACAAATTTGTTCCAATAATCTGTCCCCATGGTTTTATGCACCCCGCATAATTTAGCAAAATTTGATCTTTTTTTTGCATAATTTCTCATTATTTTCCTTTACCATTCTTTGTTAAAATTAACAGAATCGCATAATTTCACATTTTTGGGCTCAGTTTGCATAATTTCAGAATTTTTCTTGCATAAAACGACGGGGACAGAATAATGGCAGAGGGAAAAACCCAGATGAGTTCACTGGGAGCTCAGCGACCGGTACATACAAATAACCAACTGCAACAAATAGTTCAGAACTGAAGCTGACACTGATCCCACAAACTGATCCCCGAGACATGATTCGATTTGTCAAAAAATGAAGAGGTTTAACGCTCCCAACAACACCATTAGGTTATCTCAGACACAGGACCTCCGAATTTAATGTCCGTCTCCAACTAGAGAAATTCTATTTGTGAGCATAGAATATCCTAAAAAGGATGAGGGGGGTGGGGTGGACAGACATGAATTGTGAGGGTACAAAACCGCTAATTGAAACACATACCGGTATTAGGAATGAAAAGCCAAACCTATGGTATGGTTTCCAAACTTTGCACTGAAGACATTTATCTGTTATATATAAATAGCAAATATTCCAAGTCTAGAACTGAGCAATGAGACACAATAAAGCTTGCACAATAAAGCTGAAAAAACTTGCACTGAAGATACTGATCTATATAGAGTATGTAAGTCTGAAAATGAGCAAAGAGGCATCAAATCAAAGTGAATGCTAAATTAAAGCTGAAAAGACTCACACAAAGAGTTGCATCAAGATATTGATCCGTATAAAGTAAATAATCTAATATAACATCAGGAAAGGAGCAAATAAAGCTGAAAATACGCGCTAAAAGACTTGCACTGAAGACATCCATATAAAGTAGGCCTACTCCAAATTTGGAAATGACCATAGAGCCACTATTAAACCAGCTAACAAAATAAAGCTGAAATGACGAACGTCGAACACCACAGAATTTGTAACAAAGGGTAAAAAGTTTCACTCCATTGTGAAACTCGTAATATATATGGCACAGTCACGGCTTCCTACAACCTGTGACATATGGCACAGTCACGTCTTCCTACAACCGGTGACATATGGCACAGTCACGGCTTCCTACAACCGGTGACATATGGCACAGTCACGTCTTCCTACAACCTGTGACATATGGCACAGTCACGTCTTCCTACAACCTGTGACATATGGCACAGTCACGGCTTCCTACAACCTGTGACATATGGCACAGTCACGGCTTCCTACAACCTGTGACATATGGCACAGTCACGGCTTCCTACAACCTGTGACATATGGCACAGTCACGTCTTCCTACAACCTGTGACATATGGCACAGTCACGTCTTCCTACAACCTGTGACATATGGCACAGTCACGTCTTCCTACAACCTGTGACATATGGCACAGTCACGTCTTCCTACAACCTGTGACATATGGCACAGTCACTGCTTCCTATGACCTGTGACATATGGCACAGTCACGTCTTCCTACAACCTGTGACATACGGCACAGTCACGTCTTCCTACAACCTGTGACATATGGCACAGTCACTGCTTCCTACGACCTGTGACATATGGCACAGTCACTGCTTCCTACGACCTGTGACATATGGCACAGTCACTGCTTGCTACGACCTGTGACATATGACACAGTCACTGCTTCCTACGACCTGTGACATATGGCACAGTCACTGCTTGCTACGACCTGTGACATATGACACAGTCACTGCTTCCTACGACCTGTGACATATGGCACAGTCACTGCTTCCTATGACCTGTGACATATGGCACAGTCACTGCTTCCTATGACCTGTGACATAAGGCACAGTCACTGCTTCCTACGACCTGTGACATATGGCACAGTCACGTCTTCCTACGACCTGTGACATAAGGCACAGTCACTGCTTCCTACGACTTGTGACATAAGGCACAGTCACTGCTTCCTATGACCTGAGACATCATAAGAAACACTTTCAGGAGCTCCGATCTCCTGTCCTCCATCTCATCACCAATCAAACTCCTACTGTCAGCACAAAAGGTAGTAACCTACGTCGTCCTTTCTCGGACTCGTTTCAAGATCAGGAAAACAACAGATCTCACTGTGCAAGACCAGTATAATTTTGATCCGCGTAAACAATGATGACCTTTAACAGTTTAAAATGTTTTATACAAAGCCAGTTCAACATTACAAAGCTTGTAAAGATGACAAAATAGATATATAATTCGTTACAACTCATTTACAGGAAATTTGAGGTACGGTAGCTTTAGGATTTTTTAAAAGCAAACAGACATAATTAGGACACTTTCTACTCCACATTACTCACAACTGCAAAGACAAAGGACAGATATACAGTTAGTTGAGCAAAACATCATTTTCTTATTAAATCTATGAAGAGTATGCTACAAAGCTAAACGACAATATAATATATATACAGTGAATTTCCCCTAAAAATGTAACACAAAATAGCAGAAGGCAGAAGGCACTTCAAACACATGCATGCATACACAGGACTATGCCCTGGTGAAAACAGCATTTAAAGCTAACAGATTTCAACAGATGTTCTTGACCAGAGCTACAAGGATAACAATTCTATATCTGGCTGTAAAAACATCATCTCCGACAGCAGCTTCTTCCTCCCATTTTTAAAATAGTTTTAGTAAGTTTTTTACAGCACTTGCAACACAATATAAGGTTATATAAGTGCCGCAGAATGGATGTGTCACAAGAGAGTAACATACACAAAAAAGGAGGAGGAGAGATAAGTACGATAGATGTTTTATAGGACAGAAGGGGTAGACCACACACCAGATCACCCGCCAACCACCCACTCTTCCTCGCGCCCCTACCACCACAGACAATACCCTACACTGCAGTAAAGAACAAATATCGGAGAACTCCATCTTTTTTTTACCATGCCATTGGCTTGAAAGGGCAAACTCTCAACGGCTAGGGGATTAACAACAGCAACAGCAATCCTCTGATCTCACGAGTTTGAGGAGAAAATATTTTCGCAATAGCTCGCTGTCCGACTCAAGAGTATCATTTTCTATGAGCTTTTAGCCACAACTGTTCACTAAAGTCGATGAATTTCACATTGAATTTTCACACTGAATAATAGAACTGGCTACGAGAACACTAGCTGGTATTGAGAAGAATAGGACTGACGTGGTACTAGCGTGTCGTACGAGGCGACCAAATGGCGAACCAAGTAGTGACTCCCGAAACACAGTCATCCTGCCTCCAGGTCAGGGGTTGAGTCATGAGGCTAACAACCTCTCTCGTAAAAAGAACCTGTTACAGAAACACATACAAGCAAAAACCATTATCTCAGCTTGACTGATCGTGGATCTTCTCCAAATGGAGAGTTTACGACGCAAGGCGGTGAAAGCGGAAAGGAGGCTGCAGGGCAGAAGCCTTCACCATCATCCAAGTTCAAGTCTCTTCGGTTTGAAGTAAGCCCAGCGGAAACATCACAAGACAGTCACTGCAGCGGAACCCACAAGTAGCACGGGGCAGGGGTAGTCCACGAGAAACATGGAGGAGATGCGTGGAAAGGGACATGAGAGAGATGAAGCTCACTTGGAACGAGCTTGGAAGGATGGCTCAGGACAGAGATAAATGGAAGGAGCTTGTATGTGGCCTATACCCTGCCAGGGGTGAAAGGCATTGATGATGAGGAATGAGAACACAACTTAAAAGAACCAATTAAACAGAAATGACAGTCACTCCTGCTTTCCATAGAGAAAGACACCATGTGTAGAATTATCCTCAAAACATTTGGAACAAATTAAGGACGCTATCTAAGATGAAAATCTGATTATGAACCGTTAAAAAACATCTACTTGTAGTTCTGGTTCAAAGCATATACAATGCAGCCTCTCTATAACGACCTTCGACATAACGACATCCTCTGTATAGCGACATGGTGCCCAGGTCCCGATTTTTTTTCTTTATATATCATTAGTAAGTTTTGGTTGCCTCTCTATAACGACAACTCTCTATAACGACAACTCTCTATAACGACAACTCTCTATAAATACATTTTTTTCTGGTCCCGGCAATGTCGTCAGAGAGAGGCTGCCCTGTACACTCGGCTGCCGTGAGGAGAGAACGCAACAATCGTTGTCCTATTTCCCTCCCTCCCTCATCTTCATGATTTGCTTGACACCAAACTTCAGGATCAACCTGTGGAAAAATAAAAGAAATAAAACAAGTCCTTAGAAAAAAAATAAAGGTTTTACAATGGCACTTGGACCATAATTTCAATTATTACACTGACCATAATTTCAATTATTACTGACCAAAATTTCAATTATTACTGACCACAATTTCAATTATTACTGACCACAATTTCAATTATTACTGACCATAATTTCAATTATTACACTGACCATAATTTCAATTATTATTGACCATAATTTCAATTATTACACTGACCATAATTTCAATTATTACTGACCATAATTTCAATTATTACACAGACTGTAATTTCAATTATTATAATTTCAATTATTACACTGACCATAATTTCAATTATTACTGACCATAATTTCAATTATTACTGACCATAATTTCAATTATTACTGACCATCAATTATTACACTGGCTGTAATTTCAACTCTCCCCCACACTCCTCCCCCCCCCCCCCAAATCTCTTTCCAGCTCAGACATCTACGTCCAACCATAACCACACCACTATTCCTAGTGTCCTCATCATTTGTCCACAGCCGGCACTGACTCACTGATTCCCAAAGCGGGGATATTAACATGTTTTTATGCAAAGTAGAATTGTAAATGGGCTGATTTATCAATGTCATGCTCATACTGTGCCGGAACAACATAGGGGGAACTGCTGCTTTTTCTTTCCTCATCTTTATTATTGTCATTTTTCCTCTACTTCTTTTGTATGTTTGTCACTCTCTTGTGAACTGGTATTTCTGAGGTGCCTTGATAGTCAAAGCAGACTTTGCGCTTTTGAAGAAAGAGAGGTGAGCAGAGTAAGCCTGATTCACCGTTTGGACTTCTCTGTTGACATCCACACACCATGTATGGCCACATGAATAAACCACTGGTCAAAGATCCAATCAATGAGTTGAGGAGGGGAGATCAATCCATAATCTTCCAACTTAGAACACAACATGTACCCCTCAACCAACATCTCAACCGAATTGGAGTAAAGCAGTCTGCTGCCTGCCCACTATATGACTACCCCTCAGAGACAGTGGAACATCATCTGTTCTTCTGTAGAAAACTAACTGATTTAAGCTACCAAGCTACCCCACACATCTAATTGCCTCTACTCCTCAAGACAACAATTAGAACAAACATGCAACTATTACCAAATGGCATCATGCATAAGAGTTAACGCTCAGATGCTACTGGATCGCTAACAACAACAACAACATCCACACACCCCTTGGCGCTCATATGACCTTATGCAGTTGCGAGCGCCGTAAAAACCTTACTAAAACTCAAACAACAAAAACTCACCATTTTCCCAGGTCCGGCATGTACTGACCGACGTAGGCCAGGAACAGGACGGGGTTCTGGCTGATCCACACCTCGTACAGTCTGTTTGCCAAGGCCGCACAGGTGAGCTGAGCACAGCGCTCCGTGCTCATTTTTTTCTCCGACTTGTCCATCGCACGCCCCACGGTCTGAGCAGAGAAGATTTTTGTTAAACTCTGAGTTGTTGTGTGTTTAGTAAGTGCTGGCATGTTTTGTTTTAATATGGTCCAATTTAACTGCGTTAATTTACTAAGGAGAGATGATTTTGTTACATTCTGAGTTGTTGTGTGTTAGTAAGTACTGGTATGTTTTGTTTTTACTACTGTTTTAGTTTTAGTAAGAGTTTTACGGCACTTGCAACACAATAAGGTCATATAGGTGCCGAAGATTAGAGGTGTTACAAGAGAAAAACAAACACAAAAAAGAAAGAGGGGAGACAAAGTTAATACTGTACATTCCAACTCGCAGTTTAAGGTCATCAGCTGACAAAAAGACATTTATTTTACCATCTATTAAACTTAAAACAATGGGTGGAAGGGCATTTGAATACCAAGGCCCCAAGATCTGGAATGTTCTACCAAGTACTTTGAGAGAGATCAAATCTTTTGATTCATTCAAATGTCAGCTGAAGTCGTTTCTGTTTTTAAATTAATAAGATGAATATTTGGAATAATTTTCTTTAGTCAGAACACGTTTTATGTTACTGTTGTATGTTGTACTGTATTGTAAAGCGCTCAGAGCCTGTATACTTTATTCGGGGTTGAGCGCTATATATATAAATGTCATTTATTATTATTATTATAAAGACGATGGATGTTTGATAGGAAAGAAGAAGCAAACCACAACAGAGCAACTGCCAACCACCCATTTAACAACGGTCCTTATGTGTATAGAATTAAGAGTCCAACAAAGAAATACCTGAACTGTCAAATTATTTGGGGAAATAACTGTTAATTTTAGTTTTTCAGCCAAAAAAAATAATACGGTCCAATTTAACTGTGTTAATTTTCTAAGGAGAGATGATTTTGTTACATTTTTAGTTGTTGAGAGTTTATTAAGTGCTGGCATGTTTTGGTTTTACTACTGTCCTTATGTGTTTATATAACTGGTTGCTTTTAAGGACTAGCAGGCTACCCCAGATTCCGGGGGTTTCCAGAAATCTTGACCTACACTAAAAGTGGACATTGCCCTACCTATAGGAGAAGTTTGGTTTCATTGGTGTGTACATTTGTTTGGTTATAGAGAAAACTCTCCTTGTCTTTTAAAGAAACTGAACAAGGGGCAAAAACTTAACCTTCGATTTTCTCAAAACAACATTTTTCGAGATAGCCCCCTTGTGCTTAAAAGCGACCAATTATTAAAGTTTGGTTGAGAAAGTTCTTCTTTGTATGGTTGAACTGGTTTTCTGGTTTTCTTGTAAATGAGAAATGTTTTATCTTGTGTGAACGAAGGATAGTGCTCAGTGATCATGTTATCGATGTAAAGCACACACAGCTTATACGCAAATAGGATAGAGCGCAATATAAATGCAATCTATTCTCATTATTATTAATATAAAACAATAGGAACTATCTCTCACAACAACCGTTTTAAAACACTTACAGAGAAGAGAGAAAATTTACACACCGAAAAACCCACCACTTCCCCTGCCAAAAGAAATAACAACCAAACAAACAAAAACACATACTCGGACAAACACAAAAACAAAAGAACAATTCCGACCTCCCCTATTTTCCCCGTGGCGGCGTGAACGGTAACGTTGGAGAAGACGGGGCCGGGGCAGATGATGGTCACGTCAATGTTGTGCTCACTCATCTCTGTGGCCAGACAGCCAAAGTAGCCCTGCACACAGTGGGGGGGAGATAAATCAGTAGGATAAAACAACAGTGAAAGATAAAAAACAGTACGACATACAATATGGGGAAAGATAAATCAGTAGGATAAAACAATGGGGAAAGATAAAACAGTATGGTATACACTATGGGGAAAGAAAAATCAGTAGGACAAAATAATGGGGAAAGATAAAACGGCACGATATAGCATTGGGGAAAGATAAAACAGTAGGATATGGTAATAGGAAAAGACAAAATAGTAGGATATAACAATGGAGAAAGATAAAACTGTATGATATAGAAATAGGAAAAGATAAAACAGTACGATATTGTAATAGGAAAAAATAAAATAGTACGACATAGCAATGGGAAAAAAGATAAAACAGTCGAACACAACAATGAGGAAAGATCAGATAAAAGATAAAGCAGTACGACATAGCAATGAGGAAAAAGATAAAACAGTAGGATAAAGCAATGGGAGGAAAAGATAAAACAGTACAATATAACAATGGGAAAGATAAAAATAAAACAGTGGGACGTAGTAATGTAGTAATGGGAAAAGGTCAAACAGTAGGACAGCAACGGACAGCAAATGAGATGCATGTAACTGAAACTTACGTTGAGCGCATGCTTGGTACCGGTGTACGACCTTGACATTGGGACACCTTGGAATACAAGAGAAGACATGTTCTAATGAGAAATACAAGAGTCTATAGCTTTTGTTTAGTCTCACAAGTTGACTAAATGAATTTAGGGGAAAAGAGCAAAACAGCTTTACCTCTACGCTACAACAGTTGAGGTCTTGGATCAGACACAAGAAATTGAAAGATTTATTTGTTGTAATAATTTGCCTCAAACCATAAGGTTCCTTTCTTTAGTAGAGCTTAGAATGCAAACTTTGAAAACAAATGAACAACACAAAATGTTACAAGTTATGGATTATTCCTTTGTATGACCAAAACAACCAGGTCTACGAAGAGACAATTTCCTTTTTGAAAATGGAATTTTTTTGTTTTAAATCGCAAAAAAAAAGTCAGTTTTTGTTTATGATTCTACGCACCCACTTTGCCAGCAATGCTGCTCATAACTGCAATCAAGCCCGCCTTGCGGCTGATCATATGCGGAAGCACTTCCCGCGTAAGAGAAACTTGTCCCAAGACGTTCGTCTCAAACATGTCGCGGTCCACATCCAGCTCCACGTCTAACCAGGCGGCGCGCTGACTGCGACCCGCGTTGTTCATCAGCACATCAATCTGATCATTCAAACAAAGTTTAGTTTAGTTTTAGTTAGAGTTTTACGGCACTTGCAATACAATAAGGTCATATAAGTGCCGAAGATTAGAGGCGTTACAAGAGAGTAACAAACATAAAAAAGAAGGAGGGGAGAAAGAGACGATAGCTTTTCTATAGGAAAAAAGAAGCAAACCACACCAGAGCACCTGCCAGCCACCCATATTCAGACAAAGTGCAACATGATTAGAGAGAAGAGTCAAGGAGTGGTTGAGTTGAAAGGTCATCTAAAAAAATTCATCATGTTTTAACTGATATAGGAAAAACTAATAATCATTCTTTCCTACACGTACATAATATCATGATCAGTTGACGAAAAAAAAAAACTATTAAAAAAAAACAATCCAAAAACAGATTCCCAGACAAAACCAAAGAAGTGTCACGGGCACAGTTCATCACAGGTTTGTTCCCCTTCCCTTGTGGTAACTGGATCCATAACAACAACATCAACAACAACAACATCAGCAACAACAACAACATCAACAACAACAACAACAACAAAAGCCCTTTTAGCACCTTCATCGATAACAACAACAACAACCCTTGTTTGTAGTACTTTTTGCTTCCATTTTTCCACACGGATGAGATGTGTTACGCTCCACATTTTGCCTCATATCCAGTCCACCGCCATCAAACCATCAGCATAGTAAAGTCAGAAGCATAATATTGGATCTACCTCCATATTTTACAAACTTCAAACAGCATATGGTGTTATGGACGGACAAAAGAAATAAAAAGGTATACAGCCTCTTCCTGTGACAAGAGAGACAGTAAAATGGAGCGTGCTTAAACTGAAATCAGAAGAACTGCTGGACTATCATATATCAAACCAGGGTTTTTTATCGTTCAGAGAGGTTGCTAAAAGAGAAGAATATGAAATTGGTGATTTTTATTTTCTTTCAATTTACCAGTATACGTTTCCAGATAAACAACGTTCGGTTTAAGTGGACTCCACTGTATGTTAAAAAATTTGTTAGAGCAAGTTCGACTGTGTACGAGATATATATGTGAGGCATCATTGTGAAATCAGGCGCTCGTCAAAATAATGAAATCCCAGAAATCTTTCTTTTTTCTACCAGTTTGGAATTTTTTTTCTGATTTTTCTTTTTTGGCTAAACACCTCGTATGTCCATTCAAAAACACTGTTATGAGAGGATTTTTATGGAAAAACTGATTAAAGGCATAGCAAATTTAAATTTACAGTTTCCAAGGACTCTTAAGCAATGGAAGTCACCAAACTTTGGCAGCTATTTTCTCGCTAATTTTACCTCTGAAACCAGGCAACCCCACCTCCTTCAATCTCAAATATCTCGACTTCTATTCAAGATAAATGGATATTTTTTTCATCGAAAGCAAGGCAAATGATCTACCTTCAATATGATACCAATAACTCCATGTGCCCAAAAATTAATGAGCGCCTGATTCCACTGCGTCGTGACACGTATCATTATGCCTCACCTGCTGGAAATGATCCAAAACCTTCTGGACAGCCTCCTTGTGAGTCTCGTACTTCACCACGTCCAGGGGCAGCACCAGCACGTCCGACTCTGTCACTTGACCTTTGTCCAACGGGGAGAAAAAGTACAAGGACAGCTACAGGAACATGTCTCTCACATTCAAAGACATAACTGCCAACTTGTCAAAATCTAAAAACGGACTCTACTCTACCTACCCTGTGTGTCAAGATGGTGGGCATTGGCCAAGTATTTGACCCTCCGCACCCTTCACACACATTTTTCTGTGTTCAACAAATTCATGCTCAATGGTTACTACGGCAACAGACACATTTTTCTGCATTCAACAAATTCATGCTCAATGGTTACTACGGCAACTGACACATTTTTCTGCATTCAACAAATTCATGCTCAATGGTTACTACGGCAACAGACACATTTTTCTGCATTCAACAAATTCATGCTCAATGGTTACTACGGCAACAGACACATTTTTCTGCATTCAACAAATTCATGCTCAATGGTTTACTAGTAGTTTACTACGGCGACAGACACATTTTTCTGTATTCAACAAATTCATGCTCAATGGTTGCTACGGCGACAGACACATTTTTCTGCATTCAACAAATTCATGCTCAATGGTTACTACGGCAACAGACACATTTTTCTGCATTCAACAAATTCATGCTCAATGGTTACTACGGCAACAGACACATTTTTCTGCATTCAACAAATTCATGCTCAATGGTTACTACGGCAACAGACACATTTTTCTGCATTCAACAAATTCATGCTCAATGGTTACTACGGCAACAGATACATTTTTCTGCATTCAACAAATTCATGCTCAATGGTTGCTACGGCGACAGACACATTTTTCTGCATTCAACAAATTCATGCTCAATGGTTACTACGGCGACAGACACATTTTTCTGCATTCAACAAATTCATGCTCAATGGTTACTACGGCGACACACACATTTTTCTGCACTCAACAAATTCATGCTCAATGGTTACTACAGCAACAGACACATTTTTCTGCACTCAACAAATTCATGCTCAATGGTTACTACGGCGACAGACACATTTTTCTGTATTCAACAAATTCATGCTCAATGGTTTACTAGTAGTTTACTACGGCGACAGACACATTTTTCTGTATTAAAAAAATTCATACTCAACGGTTTACTACGGTAACAGACACAACTACAACAAATTCATGCTCGATGGTCCTCAACTCATTGATTGGATCTTTGACCAGTAACATATAAAAGAGAAAAAAATGACTTTAGTAGATACCTTCTTTGGAGAAAATGAAATGTAACATACAAAAGAAACAATGCACGAACAAGCTTCCATCCACAAAACCAACCTCATCCTAACCTTGACCCTGTGTTGACTAAAGCTAACACATGATGCGCATGCATTTATTATAACGTTATACTAATCAGATGGCGACATTTTGATAGAGCTGGGCGGGTTAAGGGTGGGGGGGGGGAGGGGGGAACTGTGGTTACCTAGACTAACACACGCTGCTTTGACACGTTCCAGCTCATCTTTCCTGCGAGCTGACAGAACGAGCCGAGCTCCTGCCTTGGCCAGGCAGTAAGCGATGTGCTCTCCGATGCCACTGGAGGCTCCCGTGATCCACACCACCTTCCCGGCCAGACTCTCTGCACACACATCATAGCAATAATAATAGTAATATAATAATTTAATAGTAATAATAATAGTAATAGTAATTATTTAATAGTAATAATAATAGTAATAGTAATAATTTAATAATAATAATAATAATCATAATAATAATCATAATCATAACAATAATTACTAAATTTATTATTATTATAACCATATGTGCACCCCACATGCTAAGGAAAATCCCATCATGCACAAGACGCCATAGGTCACAATCTTTCATTGACATTTGTCCACTTATCAAAAGAGACAGGTTGTTACAACTCATAAAATAGAAAGAGTAAAAAAAAAAATACAGTTGGGAGTGACGGTTAAATAATTACTTCGGACCAGTGAAAGAAATTTTGTTAATGTGTTAGAACTTGCGCAAATGGCACAAGTTACATGATGGAAAGAAGTAAAAAAACTGACTTGTTAAGCGAGGAGCTTCTGTCTGTCTAAAAAACAGTACATTACTATATTATTATAAATAAATTCACTCAAAAGAAAACCTACCTGGCTGTTTGCCAAATTTTGCGGCATACATCAATCTCAAGTCGGCATCCGACAACAAAATGGCCACAATGACCACAAACAAAGCCACAACGGCATAGCCCACTAGAGGCAGCAGGCTGCACAATACACACAAGTACGACATTTCCCTCTGTATGATAGGTCAACAACGGACACCGAGCTGAAAAAAGAGAATTATTACAATAATAGGGAGATGCATGGATATTTTTAGCACATATATATTGAAACTAGAAATCTCACAAACTTGTTTGACAGCAGCACAACTTATGAAAAAAGAATCCCAACAATTGCACTTTTTAGAAGTTTGTAGTCTGTCACTAAAAATGTAAACGGAGAGTGTGCCCAGTTGCGACTACAGTGTACAAGATAAGAAACTGCACCATCACCTGTTCCACAACACAGCCAAAACTTAAATGACTGCAAAGCTACCTTGTTTTGCAGAGACCATCCTTGACAATGTGCCAGGATCTGGACAATAAAAATGTATCTTATATCCTATCTCATCTTGACAACACACAATGGAACATCACGACATTAACTGCAGCAAACCTGCACTTACTATAAGTCAAAACAATATAACCAGCAGCAAATTTAACTCTTTCACTACCAGGGGTTTTCCTCACCTATCTGTGACCTACTTTTTTGAGAAACACAGCTTGCGGGAGTGAAAGAGTAAACCGGCACTTGTTACAATTTACTAAGTTACAATGAACTGCAGCAAATGTTCACTTATTTAACTCATTCGCTACGCCGAGCCGTGGGGGGCGGCGCGGCTAAAGTGCTGTCAGTACGCTAAGCCACCCCCGGCGGCTCGAGAACCGACGTTCAATTTTAGCTTGGTTTCTATTCCAATCCACATATCCATGTTAAAATAAAGGTCATAATATAAAGTTGACTTCCGGGTCAAGCGTTTCCACCGAAAATCAAAAGTTTTGATTCAGTTTTGAAACACGATTTCGAAGTTTATTCGACATTGTTTTATCGCGAAGCCCAAATTATAGCCCAGACACCAGTCTTAGTACTTTTACACAACAAAATGTATCATTATTTTGCTCACTAAAGAAGTGTAGGACTCTTCTTTATAATATTGATACTATTGGACGCAAATTGCCGGTGCACTGTAATTGAGAAATCAATCTTTTTGAGTGCTAGATCTAGGCCTAGATCTAAATAGTCAAAATATTTTTTTCTCCCCCAAATCACTACTTTTGGGTGAAATTACTAAGTATCACTCAAGACATGTATAGGTTTATTCCAAATGCAATTCTGAATAATTCCATATAAGTTACGTGTATTTTTTTCTGTTTGTGATCCTTTTTTCAAAATTATTTAAACAATTTTTTTTTTTTCAATATCGGATGTTATGATCCAAATGTACAAATATTATGGAATGTATGTAAATAACTGCACATTTTTCAATATTTTCCTGTTCTATATATACAGGTATGGTTATTTTGAGGTATCATTTGACAAGGTGCAAACATATTTTTTTAGTTTCACCTGAGATTATAAATTTTTTTAGGCCGGCACTATTTCTCCGAACACTGTGAAATCACATCCTTTCCCCCAAATTTCGGATATTATATAGAGTATAGACCTACCAAAGATTGTTCGTATACAATATGGTTCAATCGGTCTAAAAAATGTCCGCAGTAAATATTTATATTAAAAAATACTACAGTTCCAAACAGTTTTTCGCTACAGATATGACGTGTTGCCTTTGAAGGGTGCTGCTCTTAAACTTAATGTGTTGTGTTCACTCGTGTGCAGTCTAGATCTAGATTTACGGAGGGTTATTGATAACGACACATAGAACTAGCTTCAGCGTTTGTCACTGCTGCGACCAATCAATCGTGGCTCGATTTTTTTTGGCATTTTTTGGACAGGGAATAAAAGTCAAATTTTAAAAAAAAGAAAAAAAAAAAAAGAAAGAAACCGAACCTCTTTACTTTTGAAAGAACGTTCCCTTAGTTTCACTTAGTCTCTTTCTCACTTGTTGTCACCACGTTGATTTGTTGAATATGTACAGTTACTTTTATTTTTCCCTCTTTGACTCTTTGTGGTGTTTTATTTTGTTAGTGTGTAACTTTTTTTCTTGTTATTGTTCTGATGTGTTGTTTTTCCATCAATTTTTTTTGTTGGGGAAAGGGGGGGG